CTTCTTTTGTTGTCCTACCCTGTCAATATGAAAATGTATACAATTGTTAGTATTTGTTTGAATTTAAATGTTTAAGTTATGACTGTTATTAAGATTTGAGATATTATTAGTGTTTGTTTTAATTTAAATGTTTATGGTTTTACTTGCATTTAAATATTTAGTATATATAAAATTAGAACTTAGATTGTTTAGAAGTAATTAAACTAAAATATATATTTTTTTTAACTGTTCGCTTTGCTTCGGTAAAGCGTGTCGCTTCGCTTCTCGCCTAGGCGTTAGGAGCCTTGGTCGCTTCGGTTCGCTTTACGCCTTAAATAACACTGGGGATGATAAGCCGCTACAAAATTCAACCTCTAAAATTTCTTTCTTAATGATGAGAGGTTCCTGAAAAGGCAAATTTAACAAAACCTGTGCAGGACATCTACCATAAAACCAAGGATCAAAATTTTTGTTTCGTTTCCACCAAAAACAACCGAAACGTGCCGGTGAAAACAGAAAAAACCAGTGATCCAGTGTTGATCAACATTCATATTGAATAGGGTGTCAAATGTGTCAGGTTAAACGGTTATGTGTCGGGTTAAACGGATGACGGGTGAAAAACACGTAAACTCATACACGATCCGTTTAATAAACGGGTGAAAAACCTCAACACGTTTGTTTAATAAACGGGTAGCACGACACAACTTGTTTAACCCTTTTAGTTTTAATTTATTATTATATTTTTTGTGACCATCACTAAATTAAAAAAAAATATGTGGCTATCACTAAAAATAATATATATATATTTTGTGGTTGTCATTAAAAAAAAATACGGCTAATTTTTTAAAATAATTATTAATTTATTACTCCCTCTATTCCTAAATATCTATTGTTTAATGATCATTGCTCCTGTCATGATCATTGCGCTTCTGTTTTTTTTTTTAGCTCATTCTGCTTCTATTTTTTTTTGTTGATTCTGTTGCTGTTTCGGTTTTGCTGTCTTGTGTTGCTTTTGTTTTTTTTTATCCTCATTCTGCTTCTTTTTTTTTTGTTGCTAATTCTGCTGCTGTCCTGATTCTGCTTCTTTTGTTGTCCTACCCTGTCAATATGAAAATGTATACAATTGTTAGTATTTGTTTGAATTTAAATGTTTAAGTTATGACTGTTATTAAGATTTGAGATATTATTAGTGTTTGTTTTAATTTAAATGTTTATGGTTTTACTTGCATTTAAATATTTAGTATATATAAAATTAGAACTTAGATTGTTTAGAAGTAATTAAACTAAAATATATATTTTTTTTAACTGTTCGCTTTGCTTCGGTAAAGCGTGTCGCTTCGCTTCTCGCCTAGGCGTTAGGAGCCTTGGTCGCTTCGGTTCGCTTTACGCCTTAAATTACACTGGGGATGATAAGCCGCTACAAAATTCAACCTCTAAAATTTCTTTCTTAATGATGAGAGGTTCCTGAAAAGGCAAATTTAACAAAACCTGTGCAGGACATCTACCATAAAACCAAGGATCAAAATTTTTGTTTCGTTTCCACCAAAAACAACCGAAACGTGCCGGTGAAAACAGAAAAAACCAATGATCCAGTGTTGATCAGCATTCATATTGAATAGGGTGTCAAACGTGTCAGGTTAAACGGTTATGTGTCGGGTTAAACGGATGACGGGTGAAAAACATGTAAACTCATACACGATCCGTTTAATAAACGGGTGAAAAACCTCAACACGTTTGTTTAATAAACGGGTAGCACGACACAACTTGTTTAACCCTTTTAGTTTTAATTTATTATTATATTTTTTGTGACCATCACTAAATTAAAAAAAAATATGTGGCTATCACTAAAAATAATATATATATATTTTGTGGTTGTCATTAAAAAAAAATACGGCTAATTTTTTAAAATAATTATTAATTTATTACTCCCTCTATTCCTAAATATCTATTGTTTAATGATCATTGCTCCTGTCATGATCATTGCGCTTCTGTTTTTTTTTTTAGCTCATTCTGCTTCTATTTTTTTTTGTTGATTCTGTTGCTGTTTCGGTTTTGCTGTCTTGTGTTGCTTTTGTTTTTTTTTATCCTCATTCTGCTTCTTTTTTTTTTGTTGCTAATTCTGCTGCTGTCCTGATTCTGCTTCTTTTGTTGTCCTACCCTGTCAATATGAAAATGTATACAATTGTTAGTATTTGTTTGAATTTAAATGTTTAAGTTATGACTGTTATTAAGATTTGAGATATTATTAGTGTTTGTTTTAATTTAAATGTTTATGGTTTTACTTGCATTTAAATATTTAGTATATATAAAATTAGAACTTAGATTGTTTAGAAGTAATTAAACTAAAATATATATTTTTTTTAACTGTTCGCTTTGCTTCGGTAAAGCGTGTCGCTTCGCTTCTCGCCTAGGCGTTAGGAGCCTTGGTCGCTTCGGTTCGCTTTACGCCTTAAATTACACTGGGGATGATAAGCCGCTACAAAATTCAACCTCTAAAATTTCTTTCTTAATGATGAGAGGTTCCTGAAAAGGCAAATTTAACAAAACCTGTGCAGGACATCTACCATAAAACCAAGGATCAAAATTTTTGTTTCGTTTCCACCAAAAACAACCGAAACGTGCCGGTGAAAACAGAAAAAACCAGTGATCCAGTGTTGATCAACATTCATATTTAATAGGGTGTCAAATGTGTCAGGTTAAACGGTTATGTGTCGGGTTAAACGGATGACGGGTGAAAAACACGTAAACTCATACACGATCCGTTTAATAAACGGGTGAAAAACCTCAACACGTTTGTTTAATAAACGGGTAGCACGACACAACTTGTTTAACCCTTTTAGTTTTAATTTATTATTATATTTTTTGTGACCATCACTAAATTAAAAAAAAATATGTGGCTATCACTAAAAATAATATATATATATTTTGTGGTTGTCATTAAAAAAAAATACGGCTAATTTTTTAAAATAATTATTAATTTATTACTCCCTCTATTCCTAAATATCTATTGTTTAATGTTTTTGCACAAGGATTAAAGAAGTTATTAAATAGCTCTAATAGGAATAAAAAATAATTACACAAGACTAAAATACCCTTATTCAATACATATTGGGAAGAAAAGGAATATCAAAGGCACTTAATCTCCACCAAATCTAATGCATTGAAAAGTTAAGGGTAAATTTGGAAAAAAAAATATTAATTATACTTTGGTTTCATTAACCGACAGATATTATGAAACAAAAAAAATTATGTAAAACGACAAATATTTAGGAACTGAGGGAGTATTATATTAATTTTATTTAAACGGGTTGATATGACTCACCCGAACACGACCCGTTTATTAAACGTGGTAGACGGGTCAACCCGTTTACCACCCAATCCCGTTAAGGTCTCACCCAAACCCGCTTAATTCGTATCAATTAATCATGTCGTGTTGAACTTTGATAGGCCTAAATTATCGAATAGTCTACAAAGATGACAGATTGCTTGGTGCCCTCAGGATAGCCTAAATTATCGAATAGTCTACAAAGATGATAGATTGCTTGGTGCCCTCAGGATAGCTAAACTGCATGGCAAGTTGATTTTCACACAGAAGTGGAACTGGAGAAAGAGAAAGTGCTGGAGGAAATGACCACATAGCCATCTAATAATCGTAACTATTTCATATTATGGAACTTGCATCGAAAACCACATGCACAAAAAAGCACTAATTCTAGAACTGCTCGACAGCAATTAGGAAGTGTTGCAATCATTGAATGCAAAAAAAAAAAGAGAACAAAGTAAAAATAATCTTAGAAATCAGTGAAGTACACATGTCGCATGTGCTTAATAAAACATTTGTCCTGTTATATGGAAGATGAGGCACATTAGAAATTCCAAATGTCCGCTTGTGTTAATATTTGAGGATTGGTAAAACAGACTGGACAAGCACTGTGTAGTTACCAGAACTTATAGATTTTTCATAAACAGGGAAAAAAGTGCATCAAAACCATGGCACCTAGTATGCTGACAAAACAAGATTCCCATATAGCTATGACAGAACAATAAAAAAATTAGCTGTCTCATCACACAAGACAAGGCACTCTACATGGGGGTGGCACATTGGTCCTCCACTGAACTCTTGAGTTTCGATCCTAAATTATATGTATTTACGATATATTAGAGCAAAGCAACTCAGAATGGAGGGCAAATGTTTGCAACAAAAACAAAGGCTAGGCAAGACATGCATCACTGTACAGCTCAGTTCCACTTATAAATTCTAATGGCCTAATTTTGATTGTGTAATGCAACTCATAATTAAAACACCACAAGCAAATTTGGCAACAGAAACAATGACATTTATGCATTTTGATTCAGATCTACTAATCCATTCAATCAAGCTGTCAAATTTTATGTAAAATAAATCATTATGCCCATATGAATTTTCAATATCATGGTCATATGTCTGCCTCAAAGTATATAGGAAATCAAATTCACATGTTTCACCTGGTGTGGTAGTTTCATCCTGCGCCGCTTACTTCTTAGCTTTACAGCAAACAAAGCAGGATCTTCACATACTCCAACCCAGTCCCCATTCAGAAAAACTTTGTCCTTTCCACGTAGCGACGTTGAGGTATCATCTACCAGTTTTTCCATCCCACAATCAAGCAATTGCTCAAGAAGAGGTTCCAAAACATTTGTACTGACAAGCCCCATGCTGGCCAAGTTTTTTACCAGCCCGCAATTTTCTCCATCCGGGGTTGAGAGGAAACAGATCTTTCCCCAATGTGAAGGGTGTCTGCATCCCGAGATTTATAAGCAGAACATTGCCATAGTTTCCAAATATCTCAAAGTGGCAATAATGTTATATGATACAAGCTCCGAAAAGATGAGAAAAGATACATGGTGACAAATATGATAAAACTTCAGCTCTGAAAATGCACACAAATACAATACACAGGATATGACAGGACATTGTATGCTGACTATTAATGGGCAGCTCAGAGACAAAAAAAACCAACTTCTGAGAAGCCTTGCACAATGAAGGAACAAAAAATACTGCATTAATATCTTAAAGAAAAAACTGTTTTGAGAAGTAAAAATTAAATATATGAATCTAAATTTCACCTCAGAAGTTAGCACTACAAATCTTCTCTACACCGAATCTAAATTAAGATAGTGGGAACCATTTTGATATATTGTAACTAAAAAAAGAACAAATCTCTAATGCAAATTAATTTTTGCAAGACATTCACCTCTGAAACAAACTTATGTGGAAAGAAAGCACAGACGCAAGCACTGACAAATTTGTAATAGATCTAAAGAGGATGGTGGCATATAAAAGAAATACAAAAGAAAACCAACCTAAACAAGTTACATTAACTATAGACTCATCCTTCAAAATTTCCATGGCGTCTAGAGAGGAGGAGAAAATGACTCTTGCATATATTTCCAAAACATGGTTTATGCTTCCATCTAACCATAATAACCCTACTGTAAAGGGAATAAAATGACTAAATACAATAAGTCGCTGAAAAAGTTGAAGCAACTGCCTAGGTGGGCAAACTCTCCAAAAAGTGCCCATATTTTGAGTTTACCCTTTACAAAACATTCAATATATTAATTCTTTCTATAGGTCTCATCAATAACGGGGAAATCACACTCTCCTGGTTCCAAGAAAATTCACGCCCTAATCATCATCCAACTCGCAAAAAAAAGATATCAGCTAATAAATAATAAATTACTCACAGAATGCCAAAACCTATAACCCGGGCATAGTAATACAGTACCGTCATAACGCAAGCATTTTGGAATAGGTAAAACTGCAGCTAAAGGGTCAACATAGCGAAGCAACAATAACGCATGAAGAAATATCATCAGGTTATGCTCAAATCACTTACGGGTATCTGGCATCTCCAACCTTCCCTGTGTAAACCACCTGCTGACGTGTTTTCCTCATGTCAGCTGCTGTCTGCAATGGATTTGTTCGCCTAAGCATTGCCACTACTCCAGAGATCCTCTCCATCTTCTTGTAAGGATGTGACCATGCTCCAGTAGAGAACGCCCTAGAAAGGCCATTGGTAATAATTGATGCATCCAGATAGTGTTCTATAGGATGCAGGTCACGATCCCCATAAAGATCACGCTGCATAGCCTTCACCATACGCCTCTCAGCATGTTTAATGTGCACTCTGAGCTCTCGCTCAAGCAGCTCACCAGCCAGCTCCAACCTCTTGTTCCTAAAATCGTCCCTATTATCAACTTTTCTGCGGCCAGTGTAAGCCAGCAAGAGACACTTGACCATATAACCAAGAAAGCGAGCCTTTTGCTTGAAGCCACTAAGGTTGGGGAATAGATAGTTGCTAATGCACTCTTCAATAGATTCTGCAGGCGGGAATTTACAGTCTCTTATAAGTTTTTCTACGTGATTGAGGGCGTTCTTTCCTTTACGGAAGCCCTCGCTATTCTTATCAGCATCATGAATCGATGCAACAAGTATGTTGACGATACTGGCATCCTCAAGATCAGAATCAATCAGATTAACCACTTCTTTATCAGAGGATACACCAAGGGCGAAAAATAATATCCAGATTGGAATTTCTGCCACTGAGAAATACACTGTAAGGACTTTTTCCCCCCCTCGAATATGTTCATTGCTTGGTGTCTCTATAAGTTTAACATAGACTCTTCTTCTTTTGAAAACTGGTCGATATGCAACCGTCCAAGTTGGGCTACTAGTCACCCAAAGTCTGGTCAAGCAGATTTGCTCCTGTGCAATGAAAGTCTGCAGTAAGAAATGTAGTGAGTTTAATATGACAGAATTGAAGATAAGGTTGAGAAAAAAGATTGAATTGTGGAAAAGAGTTCGAGAATCCTGAGTTTGATAGAATTCCTTTATTTTTATTAGGTAAGATTGGAGAGTTTATTATGAGATATAATATGTTCCTCAGTAGCTTAGTTTCCTCTTTTCTTTAGTTACTTTTCAGGCAAAAAGAAGAAATTAGACAATAGAAGGAGAAGAAAGAACAAAGGGTGGAAGGGATTTACATCATCCTCACAAGGAATCGATCAAGAGACATAAGTTCTTAATCAATTCATTTCTTAGTGTAGCAAAATAAGTGTTTAAATCACTATTATAAACTAAGTCTTCCATGAAACGTAATCCAAACACTCCAAATCAGAAAGATACTAGCTAACAATATTACCTGATAAATAAACAATAAAATATTAATCAAATGCTATTCAAAAGAAAAGGTGTTCAAATTACTTTCTAGGATGGCATACTAATGCATTTTAAATGGTGAAATTCAGTCATGCCCATTTAGAAATAGATCATTCAGGTGACTTCACACGTATATTCAATTTACTTTGAGCGCCACAAAAATAATCTTCTCAGCTGCACCCATTCTTAAACCTTAATTATGTCATAACTCATAAACGTAATCTAGAACAACAAAAACAGAAATTGCACCCATATTACATAAACATAACTAATTCCTCACCTTCTCTGCTCCCTTGATCAAGAAATAGCCCCCGTGGTCAAAATCACAATCGTTTTTATCAACTCCATTCATCCAGCACAATTCAGACTTGACCATCACGGGAATCCTCCCAATAATAACATCCCTGTTATCTTCAAATATAGTCTCTTTATCGAGATACTGTTCTTTTCCAGTTTTAAACTTGTCGCTTCTAACCATCTTTTTAGTATACACCTGAAATGATATGGGAATGCAACAAAATATCAGATCTCAAAGAACTATACATTGGCGGCCCAGGGGGGGTACCACACAGGAACAATTTTGCACCAAAGGCTATCACCATATCATAATGCTCAAGGTACCTATCTCAGTGGGGAGGGCATGCTGTTGACTGAAAAGACAAAAAGATGTTTCAAATTAATGTTTCAGATTAAGAGTTTAGTGAGTCACCTCTTAATGGATACATGGTATCCTCATACACAAGCAATTCATCTGATGACAACAAATGCTGTTAAGAATGACAGTCGTAATCTCCAAGTCTAAAGTGATTACCAAATTGAAGAAAAAGAACATTAACGATGAGCAATTTACTTGAACTATCAGTAATCACTCCCATTGCTATTGAATTAGAATGTCCCATTACCGCACAAAAACTGGAACTTAAAGCCAGAAAAACGAGGTGAATGAGGGGCCTTGTGTAAATAAAACAAGTGACTGCACAATCTCGTACAAATTTTTTGAACTTCAATGAGTGGTGCCGTCGCAACATCCAAAATCATGAACTACCAAAATATATAAACAATTCCAAATCATTGTTCTTTAAGTGCCTAGTAAACTGTTGGTTTCTTTGTAGAGAAAGTCATTTAAACCTCATGGCAGTTCCATAAACAACCAGCACTCTCCTACAATAGCAGTGGCATACACTTCTTAGAATCAATTTGGTGTTTAAATCTCAGTAAAACATAAGGATATCAAATAAGTTATAACAAAGACCAAACAACTTGATATGCTACAAATTTGGTGTTTCAACTAGCTACTGAGCTGAAGTATGAGGAACACTAAAACATGGCAATTAGGAAGCAAAACAGTAACAATATAGAACAAGGAAAAAGGACTTATCATCAATGAAGGCATAAGAACATCAATTCAGATACTACAACATTCATAAACAATACAAGAAGAGATTCAAAGTAGAACAAAACTCCAGCAACATCTATTAACCTGAACATGCGTCTGAACTTTCATCCTGGATGAGTAAGTCATGTTTTGAAGACGGGCATGTCTGGGCAACAAGTCCAGCGACTCTTTGCCGCTATCAGCTGAAAACTTTTCACCCGTCCAGAAACTTGGACGCTCAAGGATGACCTTCCCAAACTTCACCGAAGCATATCTCCAATCACTTTCCCCCTTCTTTGATGGATCATACCCAGGTTCGACTACGATCTCACCGATGGAGTCAAAGACCTTCTGGATTCCATTTTCGATAAAGTCATTATAAGAGTTGATTTGGTGACTAATCAGACCATATTGTTCAAAAAATGCTGTTGATGCCTTTCTACAAAATCTCTTCAGAAAATCGTCACCCAACTCTCGTATAGAAGTTGAGTCCATCGGATCTTCCTCCTCCTCCTCCTCATCCTCATCCTCAAAATCATCAATGTCCATGTTCACCACTCCATTAGATGTCTTCTCTTTATTACCACTTGTACCAGCTTCTTTTAGGGTCTCTGATGCGCCCATTATATTCAGGATCTGCAGAAGTGAAATTACATCATGAGCAACATTGTTTGGTAGTAGTCCTGCAAACAACTGCACAGGAAAGTCCATATCCCAAACCATGGTTCCTCATCTCAAAGTATTTTTTTCACGTTTTTCATGCAAAATAACAAGCAAATTTGGCTACCAAAAGCAACAGAAATGTTCTTCCAATATGACAAAAGAATAAAGCTCAAATTATCAACCCAATACCCTTATCCTGAGTTTTAAATAGGAATAAGTGCAAGCATGAAATATCAGAAAAGTCTCTCATTTGCAATAGGATGTGTTTATAAAAATAGATCAGCAACTTGCTATTTCAACCATCTCTAAGGGTTCATGTTTTGGATTTTTCATTTCTTAACCCTCTCAAAACCCAACACCCAAAATCCAAATCTTTCAGCACTGTATCGGCAATTGAGAGATGTAGAAGCATCCTACCCTGTTATCTGATAGTTTCAAAGAAAAAATGAATTTCTTTCAAGGAAATTAGGCCTTAGATTTGTCTTGTATACCATAATCCAACCACAAACTCAAGATCCTGAACTCCCTTCAAATCATTCGCATGCAAGAAACTTAGGAGTGCAACTGTTTCCTATTATTTTGTTTCCAAAAGCACTGAAATTGTTGCCAACATTTTTGAACGCCTATGGTACATTTACTTAGGCTATTTTCGCCAAAAGCCAAAAAAAGATGTGACTTAAATGTGTTCCAAAAAAATCTTGAAAACATAGAAATTTCTAAGTTAAACCAATACACATCTCGGCTGAATTCATATCAGCTTATTTCTGAGAACACCTCCAATGATGCTAAAAATGAACACATATATACATCAAATGACAATAATTGCAACAAAATTCTATTTACTTCCTCAAATTGCAAGTGCGATATAGTTCTCTTCAGATTCACACAGGATCGTACAATATACCTGCCACCAAAACCCATAACCCTAGACTCTAAGGTTAGGTTCTGTAGTCCGTACATTAGCATTTCAGAAAGTGCACTTTCTTGGTTTCTTAAGCAAAAGAACTAGAAAATTTCATCATAAAAATCAACACAACATCCTAAACAAGAGTACTAAGCAGCAACCTTCAAAATCATGAAATGTGAAAATCTCTTTGGCTATGTAATCAGATTTTTTTATTTTTTTTTTTTGTGTTTTGTGAAAATCGATTTCCTCTTTAATCCCATCTTTTCTGAAAATAAAATTCCGACTTCCAACAACTTTTATGATTTCAGGTTTGCTCTTTGCATTCCTTAATTCTGTCACAAAACCCTAAACCCTAAGCAACATTTTCACTATCTCCTACAGAACGCCTCTAAGATACAAAAACATGCATTAAACACAGAAGACTCTTCCCCCTGTTTCCTTATTCTCTTTCGAAAAATTAACAACATGAGTGGACATTTTGGGGTTTTTTAGATCTGCTCTTGAATATCTTAACCCAACCACAACCCATAAACCCTATACCTGAAATCATCTGCATGCAACTTCAGAAAGAAGTGCCCTCGAACGAACTTAAATCATCTACAATACTAGATTCCCTCAATCAATCATCAATCAATGCTAGATCACTCACATGAACACCAAACAAGTGGGACTCATAGTATTCAAGCAGTTTGAATGATCAAGCTAGAATTGAGAGAATGAAAGAAATCTAACTTGAACTTTTTTTTTAAAAATTCCACCAAAAAAAATTGCTATCAACATTTTTGAAGGCTACAAAACCATAGTTATCAAAACTAGACCGAACACATCAACCGATAGAGGCGTCGGATCAAGGGATTATTGGTTCAACAATTGGGTCAACTAGTTAGATCGGTTATATAATAAAAAAATAAAAAACTATAAAACATAATAATTAAGCTAAAAAAATATGATATTTATAATAATACGATGCTTTATACATAGTGGGTCAAATAAAAACAAAAAAATGTCAAACATGTACACAAAAAATGAATTCGGTGTAAGTGCATTGGGTGGAAGCAGCAGGCAGCATCAACCACTGGTTAGGTTAGCCTTTTTTTGTAAAAAATAAATTCATTTCATTTCTTTCTTCTTTTTTTTTGAACTGCATAATGTGGATTGCTTCATTGCTTCTCAGAATCATTTATATTTAAACACCATGGATGACTCAGTTCTTTTGTGCAGATTGTTTTTTCATTTTATCATTGTAAGCAATAGTCTCCGAGTGGGTGTGTGGAGTCATGACTCGTGAGTGCGGCTGTGGGTTATAGAGAGAGAGAGCGAGAAGACTTACAGAGTTACAGCAAGAGGAGAAGGGAGATAGATCAAGAGGCTGTACGTCTGCAAGAGAAATTGGAGAAGAGAAGCGTCTGAGTTAGGGCAAATCCATTTTTGTTTCAACAAAAAAAAATGATAAACAAATTATATGTTCCTACAATAAAACTAGAGCTCTATTTTAAGTAAAATCCAATACATTTATAAATAACAACTAGCCATTTTTTTCCCCAAAAAAACCAGAAAGAGAGAGGGACTTACAAGTCACAAGAATCCGAAGTTTTTCTGAGCTTGAAGCTGCACGATTTCTAAGGTTTTCATGCACACACACGCAGTGAGTGTGGAAATGAATGGGCAGAAAGACAGGGAGCGACTGAAATAAAGCTAAAACCCACTCGCAAGCACACACAACAGAGCTTTCTGTGCTGTGTGCAGGGTGTGAGTTTGTAGGTGTTGTACGAGTGGAAGGCTATTGGACAGAGATTTCGAATGACGATGATGCCCTTGGAAGTGGTAGGAACCACCAAGGTACCGTTCGATAACGTTTTTCGTTTTTCGTTTTTCGTTTTTCGTTTAATTTTAATATTTAGAGAAAATAAAAAAAAAATTGTTTAATAATCGTTTTTATTTTATTTTTCTATCATCATTTTGTAAACGAGGGACGATTTTTAAAATTGAGAAAAAGACGTTTTTCATTTTTTGATTCTAATTTTTGTTTTTTAGAAAATCAAAAACTATAAACGTTACCAAACGAGCGCTAAGATGTTCAAAATTTTGATTATTCATAAATTTTGATTTTACTACTATTTTATTTGATTCTATTGATTGATTATTCGAAATAATCGAGTAGGTCAATGAACAATTTTTTGGTATTTTATAAAAAATTGGGTAGAAATATAGAATATATATATATAATAAAGTATTTTACAATTCAAATTTTAAAAGATAAACAAAATAACTTTTATTTTTTGCAGTTCAGATCACTTTAAATTTTAATTTAAAGTTAATCTAACGGCTAATATTAACACCTTAAATTTAATAGAAAAAATAGGTCACTAAGAGTGTTTAAAGTGACTTTTTAAAAGTAATTTTAAAAATTATTTCTCATAAATACTTTTAAAAATTATTCCTCATAAGTACTTTAAAAAAAAATAGTGTTTGAAACCGTTCCACCACTACCTCTACCACCATTGTTGCCATTACCACTGTCGTCGTTGCCACCACCACTGCAGCAGCCGCTGCCACCACCATCATTGTCGCCACCGCCATCGTTAACTATCACCACCACTGTAACTCACCACCTCTCACCCTCAATACAACTGATACTTAAATTTATTTATCTCTCCTTTATGTTTGTGATTTAATTTTGGATATGAATACAAATATATTTATTGTTTATTTTAAAAATGATCCAAAGTCTATAATCCATTACTTTTCTAAATTGAAATACAAGTCATTTGGGCTTAATACAAAATATGTCCAAGGGTCAAATATTCATTCAAGTTCATTTCTCCTCTTTCCTTTAAGACTTCCTCAAGTCTCAAGTACCGGGAGCCTCATCTGTAATATGGTATCCCACGAATGGGTCAGCTCAACTGTTAGTATGACAAAGTGCTAATGCTAGAAACAAATTTAAGGCGTGACATGTGCAAGTATACATTTTAAAAGCTATAATCCCGTAATCCCTTAATACTATGCAATGTCAATATGCATGACACACCAATGCAACTCTATGCCACTCATGTCTTGCTTCACGGTCCGCCCCCATCAGCTTGTGAGTACTGTCATTGGCTAGATTTTGGATTTTTTACCAGAAGATCTATACCCTCATAATGCATAGCATCAAGTGCTCAACCCACACTATGTTCCAAGGATCATGTATGCCAAGATGTCATGATTTTTCTNAGTATGACAAAGTACTAATGCTAGAAACAAATTTAAGGCGTGACATGTGCAAGTATACATTTTAAAAGCTATAATCTCGTAATCCCTTAATACTATGCAATGTCAATATGCATGACACACCAATGCAACTCTATGCCACCTATGTCTTGCTTCACGGTCCGCCCCCATTAGCTTGTGAGTACTGTCATTGGCTAGATTTTGGATTTTTCATCAGAAGATCTACACCCTCATAATGCATAGCATCAAATGCTCAACCCACACTATGTTCCAAGGATCATGTATGCCAAGATGTCATGATTTTTCTCAATGTGAATTTTATGAAATATTTCATCAAACACTTTATTATCATAAATGTGAAGCATCATTCAATGGATTAAACATATGATCAAGTTTCATATTCATTACTTTTTCAAAGAAACTACAAATACATAAACTACCAACTCATGAAATAAATCATAACTCTCAAACCATAAGAGTTTATCTACATGAACATCAGGTAGAATATAATAATTCAACACACAAGCAAGGTACACATTTATCATATTAACAAATTATCAAGAAACTCAAAGAACACAAAGTACTNCCATTCAATGGATTAAACATATGATCAAGTTTCATATTTATTACTTTTTCAAAGAAACTACAAATACACAAACTACCAACTCATGAAATAAATCATAACTCTCAAACTATAAGAGTTTATCTACATGAACATCAGGTAGAATATAATAATTCAACA